CTGGTGTTGTGCTGTGGGTTAATGAGCCAGAGTATAAAGCCATTTGAATTGCAAAGTCAGCAGTTCAAACTCACCAGTCACTCATCAGAAACCCTATACAGAGTCGCTATGGATCAGAACAGACTTGACAGCACTTAACAACAACAACAAACACACACACACACAGAGGAAAAGAACAAAGACAAAACATTCCCTGTAGATTATATTTAATTTTTCCATTTTCTCTACCTTACAATGCATATTATTTCAATGATAATCAGGACAGAAGTATAAACATTAAAGTACTTAGGCATTTCCATGGTAAACTTGTGGAAATATGTAATATCAGAGAATCTAAAACCAAAGGGTTTAAGCTGTTGGGGGTCTCTGCCTGAGGAAGACCAGTTTTCCATGGAAGGAATCAGGGAAATGAACCCTAACAACCCAATGGTTAATCGTCTTCATATAACTGAAGGTACAACAATTCCCCTCTCCATGCCCTCAGACCAATTTAAAGTTAGTCATCTGCAGATTTAAATGCAAAACAAATTGGTCTCTGATAATATCTGACTTAAAGGAAAGCCAAGTTACAAAGAGGCCTGCCTCTGCCTGGGGAAATCGGGGCTGTCATGTCTAAACCTGCAAATCCTGTATTCACCCCAACTCCCACTCCCCGACCCCCCACCCCGTTCAACAGTAAACATAGCAAGCATACTGACGACAACCACACCTGGAAACGCAGTCCTTGGAACCACCAATTTCAGCAGACAACCACTCACCCTGTGTAAAATTGAGACCTCCAGGTCCGTCAATTGTGCCAGCTGCAAAGCTGTAACCCAATGCTGGTTTACATGTTTTTACCTAAAAAAATAAAAGGTTTAAAAAAAAAAGAAAAGAAAAACACAGAAAGGAAAAGAAAATTGAAGTTAAGTACAAGTAAATAATGAGGTCAGCCCAGACCTTTAATTATGGTGGCATAAGCAGTGTGACTCCGTGACACTTACTGTGTATGTTGAATTGAGCCAGACAGTGACATCTGTCATATTCACCCACTGGTGAGCAGAAGCCAGTGGTCCAGTTACCTCCTGGGAGGCGGAGTCATAGAGTTCCTAGAAAACCCACACAGACCTGTTGTTATAAGTAAAAATGCTAACATGAATTCTAGCAAAGCTACCGAATAAATAACCATTTGGGAAATTACTTCTCAGCAAACCCTTTGTTTTCCTGACTACTATGGATTAGTCTGTTACATACCTGGATGTAGCCACCAACCCCAGCTGCTTCCCAGAAGCTTGAAAGCCCCAAGACTATTAACCTGCGTGTGGCACTGTGGACTAATGTATCAGACTGCAAAGTTGTTTGAACTGTAAGTCTGGTGGTTCAAGCTCACCAGCTGCTCCTTGGAAATCCTATACAGGGTCACTATGGGTCAGAATCGACTCGATGGTACTTAACAACAACAAGAACAACTCATGCAAATACAAAATTCTAGTGATACAGGCCTTGTAACAAATGGCCCCAACCCCACTTGAAAGACAGTCAAGAACATTTAAGATTATGAGTACCCATGTCAGTCCATTCCTATACATAGTGACCTCATGTGTGCCAGAGTAGTTTGTGTGGTCCATGGAGTTGTCGCTGGATTATATTTTTGGAAGTTGATTGGTCAGGCCTCTGTTTTGAGATGTTTCTGGGACGACCTGAACAGCCCACCTCCTGGTTAGCAGCCAATCAAGTTCATTGTTTGCACCACTCAAGGACTCCAATGTTAGGAGGATGAGCCAAATTAATTTATTTGCCAGAATGATTTTCTCCTCAGATTTTCCCATGTAGGCTCCCTCTCAGATTCCTCGAGTCCTCTGACATAGCTAGAACCATGGGATGACATGAAAGGCATCCATCAGCTCTACTTAATCTGCATCTGCTCCATGCCACGCCCACATCCACTCGTAATGTTTTTGATATGGCCAATTGATACTTTTTCAATCTTATGGAGCATCTGAATAAAAACATGTTTAGAAGGTTTTCTATTTATTGATCTTCCAAAAAAGGCACATCTTATTCTGTTCCCTTGCCTGATTAACTACCCCATTTCCACTCTATCTTCATCCTAGTTTTGACAACCATGTGTGAGCTCCAATGATATGTCATCAGCACCAGCTACAGCCTGCCTGTCCTGATGAAGAGGGTGGCTGTGCCTTGCTGAGAAGATAACTCAGAATGTGAGGCAAATCACAAAGAATCTCAAGCTCACAAATGATGACAAAATATTTGATACCAAAGTATGTCACTGGTGCACACCCTAAATGTTGTTGTTGGTAAGTGTCATTGGGTCGGTTCTGATCCATAGTGACCTTATATTGTGTTTCTGAGGAGTAGCTGGTGAGCTTGAACCGCTGACCATGTAGTTCAAACCAACTTTGCAGACTGGCACATTAACCCACAGCTCCACACCAAGACTCAAATACACTCTAAATAGAACCAGTTAATTTAGAATCATCCACTAATAATACCCCCATAATTAAAAAGAAACTGCAGCAATTAGACTAGCTAGAGCTACCAATTTTGTATCTGACATTTTTTTTAAAAAGTGCTTTTGTTCTTTTTTAATTACTCCTGATACATTTTAGGTCCTTGGAACACAGTATTTATCACACACACACATATATACATACAACACACACACAACAAAGTAAACAATAAACTATAAAAAGAAATGGGTTTCCAACTGAAAGGAAAGGAGTCTTCACATAAAGGATCAAGCCTATCCCCTCAGCATACACAGTTGATAGAGAGGGGCAACTTAAGATGTTGGCTACCAAAAGAGGGGGATCAAGGGGGTTATAAAGGTACAAAGTGGCTGGCTTGCAAGTTTTCAAGAGGGAGTTTAGTTTCAGAGTGAGGGGGAGAGGGTAGAATCCCGACCGAATAGTTTTTACCTTGTCTAGATGGGTCTGCTGAAAGGAGATGGGGATAGGATTCTTTTGATTCAATAGTGAGTAGTTGTTATCATGACGAATTGCAATTTTCACAACTGTAAAGGTAGAATATGTGTAGCAAAAAGTGGGGAGCAGTGACCAGGAACAGAGGACCCTAGGACCATCAAGAGGGAAGACCATGAGTGGATTGTGGGATCCTAACCAGAGAAGCAGCGACATCAGCGCCTGAGACAGAGGTGATGGCATGGAGAGATAGAACAGCTGAGGACTCTAGACTCATGGAAAGAGAAAGGCTGTTTGCTGGCAGTCAGGAGACTGGCTTGCAAAGTGTGTCCTTTGGTTATTTAAATGATTATATATTCTCATGAGTTTTGTGTACATCAAAAGAAAAAAAAGGAAATAAAGGCAAATACTGTTACCCAATGGTGCATGGAGAGGATTGCAATCACTGCAATGAAAAAAATACGATTTGCTGAGTGCAAAAAGAAAGAAAGAAAGAAAAAGAAATGGACTGAACACTCTTTGTATCATGTCAATTTAAGATTGACTTTTTCTTTTTAAGAAATCTGTCTCCACAGAAGCAGATACAAAATATGGGGACAAAACGGAAGATAAAATTTAGGAGAGGGAAGAGGATACACTAATGCATAGTAATCTCACTGGACACTACATTCTTTCTTCATCAACAATTAAAAGAAAAACAAGATGGATGAACATCAAAAAATTCTAAGAATTAACTTAAATCCAAATTGAGAGCTGGAAGCTGGGCCTCTAGCTTTGATTTCTCACAAAGAAGTTAGGTTAGCAACTTGGCAGGCACAGGTCTGAGAGACTTCTGAGAAAACCATACATAGTTAGGTTCAATCTGGTCATATCTACTTGCCAAATTCGCTGAAACCTCACGATGGTTCTGTCATAGCACCATCTGAAGGAAGAACTCTGACTGAAATAAGAATGCTTTCTTGATGACTTGGTATTAAAGGTACTTCCTATGAGAAGTCAGAACCAAGCCTTCAGAGAAAGACTCTTGTGTCTTGTGTCTCAGGAAAGCAGCTTCCCTAACTGACGTGTAATTGGATCCAGTTTCCCAGACTGCAAGTCCAAGCAGGAGGTCAATGACTTCCTAAGGAACAGGCCAGCAGATCTTAAGGAATAACTTTAAAGGAAGGGGAAAAGAACTGGGCCCACAACTTACCTTTGCTCTCTGATATATGGCTCGTCCTATAATTTGTGTGCTGTCAAGCATATCCTTTCCAGGTCCCATAGCAATGCACATGCTGGACTGCAACAAAACCAGAAAAACTGTCTCCTTACAGAAATAAGGGATTATTTTAAGGGATGAGAAAATACAACTGAATTCAAGCAAATCGCTGTTTCTTAAATAACATTCGAGTGGTTCTTTTCAGAAAGTCTCTCAATTTACAGACTGTTGTTGTTATTAATCGTCAGGTCGATTCTGACTCAAAGCAATCCTGCATAGGGTTTTTAAGGAGTGGTTGGTGGGTTTGAACTACTGACCTTGCAGTTAGCAGTCCAGTAACTATCCTACTTCTAATAAACTTGGAGCAGTGAATGTCTTCAGAAATTATCTATTCCAGTATCTTCCTTTTAAAGACAAGGAAATTGAGGCTCAAGAGGGTTAGAGGATTTAGCTAAACACATAGCTAAAACCCAAAGCCAGGCCACCCCATTTGTTACAATCTTCCCATGTACTTTGTTCTATGAGTCTTGGGCATAATTATCATAGAATCTGATTGAAACAACTAGATGGACCTTTGGGAAAAAATTATGAAATAAATTGGCTTCCATATTTACTTTTTATATCAAAAGAGGAGACATTGATCCAACACTTATCAATGGAATGTATAGACAAATACACAGAAAGAGTTATGAGAATAGTGAATTCTAGGATGAGCAGAGTTGAAGGAAGGAAGATACATAGGGACTTTAAAAAAAACAACTTTTTACTGTGACTTGGGTGAAAGTTTTAGAACAAACTGATTTTACATTTAACACTTCACACACATTCTGTTTTATGATCTTGATTACAATCCCCACAATGTAACATCATTCTTAGTGTTTCTCCCTGCTTTTACCCTTGCCATTCACCCTTCTTTCCTATACCTGGTTTCCTTCTGAGCTTTAATCCTGGACAAAGTCTGATTTTTTGCTCTCTTATGGTTGTCTGTTCTAAGGAGAACATACCTCTCTGGTGTTATTGTTCACCTTATAAGCCTGTCTATTGTTTGGCTGAAAGTAGAGTCACAGGGGATGAGTTTGGTTCCATGTTTGAGAGTTTCTAAGGGCCACCATCCCAGCAGATCCACCCGTTTCTATCAGAACAGTAAACACAGTTTTTTATTATTATTTTTTTTTAGTTTTGTTTTAAATGTATCTTCCATTCTATCCAGGCCCTCCTATTGTGATCCTATTCAGAGCAACTGGCAGTGGTAGCCAGGTTCCATCTAGTTCTTCTGGTCGTGGAGGCTGCAGTTTCCATGATCCATTAAACCTCTGGACTAACTGTTTCCAAGTGTGTCTGATTTTCTTTACTTTTATTTGCTCCAGTGGGTCAGAAATCAGAGGATGACTCACAAACTTCTAAGATCCCTGTCTCTATTCGCCAAAGTTATTCACACAGCATTGCCTTTGTGGACTGTATTATGCCAATTACCTTGATATACCCCAAAACTGGTTCTGAACCCCCAGGCTCAACAACTCCCTTCAAGGTGTCTGGTTATAGCTAACAAGTTTTCATAACTTTGCAGCCTGTATGCACAACTATCTTTATAGATATATTTGCAGCACTTTACATATTTAGAAACCCATATTTTTATGTGTGTAGAATCATTCACCTTCTCATACCTGTTCAGCTTGCATGTCTATCTGTGTATCTGCTCTACATGACTGTTATTACAGTTAATGGAAGATTCCGTATGCAACAGTATTTGTTGCCTTTAACTCTTGTGCACCTCCCACTGCCTTCCCTTGCCTCAATCATTTTGTGCTGACCTCCCATTATTATATATTGCCTTTCCTTTCACCTAAGTTAATACATGTCTACCCTCTAGTTATTAATTACTCTCCTTTCCCTTCCCACCCTTGGTAGTCTTCAAAGAATGATCCTTTCTGTAAGTCTTTTCTTGACTTGTTTAAAAGAGCTGTTGTTATTGAGTACTGTCGAGTTGGTTCCAATTTATAGAGACCCTGGATAGGGTTCTCAAGGAGCAGCTGGTGGGTGTGAACCACCAAACTGTAGTTCAAACCTACCACGCAATCCAGTACTTTCTCCTACAGCACCACATCATATAATATTTGTCTTTTTGTGATTGGCTGATTTCACTAAGCCTAATATATTCCAGGTTCATCCACGTTATGAGGTGTTTCACAGATTCATCGTTATTCTTTTGTGTTGTATAATATTTCCTTGTGTCCATGTACCATAGTTTGCTTTTCCTTTCACGTGTTGTTGGGCACTTAGGTTGTTTGCATCTCCTCACTAATGTGAATAGTGCTGCTATTAACATGGATGTGCATATATCTGTGTCATGCTTTTGTTTCTGCAGGATATATCAATATGCTTAATAGTATAATTGTGGGATAGTATGGTATTTCTATTTCCATCTTTCAAAGAAAGCACCAGCAATGTATAAAAGTTCCAGTCTCTACTAACCTTCACAACCATTTGCTGTTTGAGGGGGTTAGCTTTGCTATTAATGCTGGGGTGAGATGACAATGCATTATAATTTTGACTTGCATGTCTCTAATGGCTAATGAGCACATTTCTTCATATTTTTGTTGGCAACCTGAATGTCTTCTTCATTGAAATGTCTGATTATGTCCTCTGCCCACTTTTAAATTAGATTGTTCATCTTTTTGTTGTTGAAGTGTTGAAGTTTTTTCATAAATGTTAAACATCAATCCCATGTCAGATATGATATTGCCAAAAAAATTTTTCCATTCAATATTTTCTTTTTTTACTCTTTTGGTGAAGGCTTTTGATGCTCGTAAATGTTAATTTTTGCACAGTGCCCATCTTCTATACATTTTTAGTTATGTTTTATAGTATATTTATATCATGTATGAGGGGCCTAAGTTTGATCCTATTTTTCTTTGATGATCTTTATAGTTTTAGATTTTACATTTATATCTTTGATCCATTTGTGTTCATTTTTTAATATGGTCAGAGATTTGGGTCCTGATTCGTTTTTCTGCAAATGGATATCCAGCTTTGCCAGCAACATTTGTGAAAGAGATGATCTCGTCCCCCATTTATTGGATTTAAACTCTTTGCCAAAGATCAGCTGCCAGCAACTTAGACATTGGCTACCTAAAATGGGGGAAGAGG